ATTTTATAATCTCTGATTATTCCCACCACATATACTGTATTCTCCAGTCATGAAACTAGGAGTACCCGAGTCTTGTGAAAGGCAACCACACATGTTCATTTTATTGTGAGCCACAACCCAGTTTTAATTGAGAAAAATGACCGTTGACTTTAATATAGAATGATGACATCTTTTTTGTACCAAATTCTTGCAAGTTCATGTCTTCAGACTACCCATGTCTTTTGTTCTACTGTAACTGGTAGTATACCTTTCCTCCTCATGCTGAATCAACATGATTTAAAGCAGTGCCTCCTGCCAGACTGCAAGAAGTGAGACCACTAACACACTAATACGAGATGTGCCTGTATACAAAGTGAACAAGAATGGCAGGAACTGATATAACATTATATTTGGGGTTCACAGTGGGAATCCGATTCAGGTTCTGCCCTGCTGAAGGCCTAGCCTCTTCCTTACTTCCCTGAATGTAATGTAGTGTGCAGGGGCGGCTCCAGGCACCAGCACAGCAAGCGTGTGACTGGGGCGGCAAGCCGCGGGGGGCAGCCTGCCGATCGCTGTGAGGGCGGCAGTCAGGCGGCCTTTGGTGGCATGCCTGCGGGAGGCCTGCCGGTCCCGCGGGTTCGGTGACAGGCATTCCGAAGCCGCTGGACCGACAGATCACCCGCAGAAACGCCGCCGAATCTGCGTGACCGCAGACCGCCCGCAGGCATACCGCTGAAGGCCGCCTGACCGCCGTGCTTGGGGAGGCAAAAACCATAGAGCCGCCCCTGGTAGTGTGGAACATCTGATTTGCCAAAGTAAGCAGATGAATTAATTAAGCAAAGTTCACTGATTACATTGCCCACCACCCACTATAACATTGAAAATAAATTGTAATCCAATGTCTTTTTATGTTTTTAAATAATAATAGTAATGCAAAACCCATTAGTCATTTTTAGTGAATTTACTGCATCCTAGTTCATAGCAACCTCTGTTAATATTAACTGCCTGAACAATCCAGAAAGCTGAAATATTGGAACTGTATTGTCAGACGGGGAATTAATTTAGTTTTAACTCTCCATGGTATGACAATGTGTGGAAGAAAAGCTGAACAGGAAGAATGTTGATTAGTGAAACTGTAATTGCTTTACTCCTCTCCATACAGATAGACTCAAATGGAGCAAAAAGGACTGAAGAAAAACTTTAAAAGAGAAGCCAGCTGTTTTATGAGAGATTGTGCTTAATACTTTGGTTCCTCCAAGCTCTCTCCTGCTCTGCATAAACATGGGTAAATAGCTATCCAAATCTACAAAGAAATGCACTGTTTTTATTTGTACGGGTAAAGTAATGTAATTTAACTGAATTGACCTGAAACTACTCCTGTGAAGAGAGAAATTGCCATACTAGCTTAGATCAGTGGTCTGTCTAGTCCAGAATTATTTCTCCCTCAATGTCTACTACCACATACTTAAGAGGAAGATGAAAGAAACCACATACTGGAAAATTATGGAACAACTTGCTTAGACTGAGGTACCTGTAACCCATCTGAAGGCCTAGGCCACTTCCTTGCTTCCCTGACTGTAATATACTGTAGAACTTTTGGTAGTTGAAGATAGCAGTTGGCTAATACCCTGAAGTATGAGGGCTCATCTCCCTTATAAATGTTTTACCCTATCTAATGCAATTACCGTTATAAACATCTAATTAATCATTTTTAATACTACCTAAGTGCTTCTCCTCAGTGAAATGAAATCTTTTGGCAATAAGTTCCACAAGTTAACTATGCATTGTGTAAAAATGTGCCTGTTTTCAATTTTCCCTTTTCACTTCCATTGAATTTTCTTGTACTGTAAAGGGGTAAACAGGATCACCCAATGTGCCTCTCTTTACCATTCACTATTTTGTATGCCTCTAACATATCTCCTCACTAAACCACAGTCCCGGTCTTTTAAAGCTGTCTTCTTCTGGAGTATCTCCATGACTTGAGTCACTTTAAACTCCCATCTCTGGAGTATATCCTATGAGATAGAGTAATCAGAACTGAGCAGAACATTTCAGGTGGTGGATGTACCATTAACTCTCATAATAGCATTATAATATTCTATCTCATTTTGCAGACATCCTAACATGGCTTGCTTTTTTTTACCTCCACTGCAAACTGAGCAGAAGTTTTCATTGAGCTGTTCACAGTGATTGTTTGATTTTTTTTCCTGAATGATTTGCCTCTTAAAAAAAATTGCTTGCTGCTGAATCAGATCACCTATTAGATGGCACAAGGGAAGGAAACAATCAAAGATACATTGTCTTCAGTGTGCAACTTTTTCAAGAGAAAGAAAATATGTGTATAATTTTTGGTGGACTAGTTCTGTCTGTTATGAATTTTACTGTTATGTGCTCCCACATGAAAGGCCTAGTCCTGAAGGAGATAAAGCACAGAACCTTACTCCTGTGCAGGAGTATGAGTTCATGTTTATGGATCCCTTTGTGGAATTGTGTCCTAAAAGTTTAACTAATGTAGTTTAATAAATGATCACAGAAATGCAGGTTTTATGTGGCCTCCTGCTACTCGACTCATAGGTCATATATTTAGACATACAAATTACTTCTAAGGGCTTGTCTTCACTACTGGGGTAAGTCGATCTGATACTCCAGCTACGTGAATGACGTAGCTGGAGTTGACATAGCTTAGGTCGATTTATCCCAGTGTCTTGACTGGTGCTGTGTTGACGGGAGATGCTCTCCAGTCGAATTGCCTTACTCTTGTTGGGGAGCTGGAGTACTGGAGAGTGCTCTGCCATTGATTTAGTAGGTCTTCTCTAGATCCGCTAAATCGACACATGCTTCATTGATTGCAGCAGTGTTGATCTCCTCAGTAGTGAAGACAAGCCCTAAACATTTAGTATGACTGAAAACTTCAGTCCAGCAGAAGTTCTCTATGAAAATAAAAGTAAAATCTGGGGCTTGCACACTATAATGTTCAGGAAACATGTAATTAAACAAACTCTAGTCTAAAAATGTAAAATCAAAATACTTAAATAAAAGATTCAGAAGTAAACACTATTTGCCTTTTACTTTAATATAATCTGGATAATCACAAAGCACAGAAATTGCTGACCTTTACTTATAACTCTTTTTCTCAATTAACTTTACTAAGCAAAATGTATAACAGTGTGTGGGTGTGCAGACACACACATGTGTAAGTGGTAAAATAAGAAGGCGGCATTTGATGATGGAGAGCAGAAGTTTAAAAAGTTATTCAGAATTACAGAACAGTAACATTTCTGTATAAAAATTTCTTAGAAGTTCAAGCTGAATATCTGAAACTAGTATCCCTGGAAACTGCACAGCTTTGAGAAATGTTTTTGTTAAATGCTTGGTATAAATGCTCAGTTTAATGCACTGATTTTTAATTAATTGCTGCTTCTACTGATTGGATATTACATAGTATACTGGGAGGTTACTATTATTTATTTTTTGGTGGCGTCTAGAAGCCCCAATTGAAACCAGAGCCCCAATGCCTATACATTGTGAATAAACATAGTAAGAGACAGTCCCTTGCCCTGAAGAGCTAACAGTCTAAGTAAGAAAGAAAAACAGTGGGAAAAGGAAGTGGTATAATTCCTATTCTACAGATCTAGAACCAAGACATAGAGACATGAAGGCCCAGATCCTCAAAGGTATATTGATTTCAAGGGAAGTTAGGAATGCAAATACCTTTGGGCCTAAGTGGCTTGCCCAAGGTCAAACAGGAAGGTGGTGCCAGAATGAATCAGTATTAGAACCCAGGCCTGCTGCCTTCCAGATTCCAAGTCAACATGACCATCTTTTCTATCTTCTAACACAGGGGTTCTCAAACTTCATTGCACTGCAACTCCCTTCTGACAACAAAAATTACTAAACGATCCTGGGAGGGGGGACCAAGTCTGAGCTCTGCTGCCCTGTGTGTGTGTGTGTGGGGGGGGTGGGAACAAAGCCAGAACCTGAGCCCTTTGGTGGGGGGGACAAAGCCCCAGGGCTTCAGCCCCACAAAGGGGGCCTGTAACCTGAGCCCCGCCACCCAAAGCTGAAGTCCTCAGACTTCAGCTTTGGCCCCAGGCAGCGGAGCTCGGGCTTCAGCTTCGGCCCCATGCCCCAGAAAGTCTAACGCCAGCCCTGGTGAGCCCATTAAAAAGGGGCCCTGACCCACTCTGGGGTCCTGACTCACAGTTTGAGAACTGCTGCTCTAATACATGTTTTAGACAGTTAAATTAATCTGTATTGAATTTTGTTTTTTGTCACATGTAGTATGATTGACATAATCTCTATTTTCACATTTCCAAACTGACATAAACACACACACATGAATCTGGCTTGGGTCAGTAAACACATTACTATCTGATACGTTATTTGTTCGGTGGGTTATGTGAAATGAGCTGATGGTCACAAGCCAGTTTATAGACACATCACAACTAGCATTTTTATGAGCAGGCTCAGGAGAGAGGACAAAAAGACCCACCCCATTACCGTTAGAGGTAGGAGTATTAGATAGGCTTGAAAAACACTGTCAAGGCACTTTCATGGAAGCTTGCACTCTCACTCTCCATCTTGTATCTGTTCTATGAGTAAATAGCTTATGTCCAGAGCTTTTAATCTATTACCCTTCATGAGAATTACAATTCATATTTTTAAAACATTTTTCTTTTTAACTGTGTATAGCACATTTCAGGATTATTGTGTTATATAAACTGGAAATAGCACTTATTTTATGTTGAGGATAGAAGCATGCAAAGCAGAAAAGTGTTGCTGTTCAGTAAGATTGGGTGCAATGACTAGATGAGACTAGTACTAATGGGATTTCCAGTGAAATCAGGACTAAAGCAGAGTTGTCAGTATTGATCTTGTCAATACAGAAAGGTTGGGTGAGGAACCGGCAACCAAGCAGAGATTAAACAAAGCTAATATAGTGTTGAGATTTAAACCATTCAAAACACAAGAAACACAACTATTAATATTGGATATTTAAATAGTAGTACTTTTTCTCTTACCTTTAAAGTTCCTGTTTGCTTGGAATCACACAGCCAGAACCAGAACCGGACTCTACACACTCCGAGGCTTGCTGGGAAGAGTTTTGTAGTAATTATCCTTGCTCTATTTCCTTCCTGCTGGGCAGATGAGTTGACATACAAAAAGTGTTGTCCATTACCTTAAAATGAATAAAAATGTTCTTTGAATACTACTCATACTTAAGAGCATAAGCCACGATAGATAAATTGATAGGTAGCTAGTTAAATAGTGAGCGCAATAATGTATCTTATCAGATCCAAATATATATGTACACGTAGGCCAAGGGTCTGATAACACATATATATATTATTAACACATACATATTTTACAAATTTATTTCTTAAACCCTCCTAAAGTCACTTTTGCTATTCAGCCACCTCCTTGGCCCTAGCTCTGTTGCAAATGAAAGAAATTAGTAGAGGTGGACATGAACACATTGGGGATGTTCAAATCTGAATGCAAATTCATCTCTAAAAGAACCACTGTGTTCTAAAAAAGGTTTGAGATAGTGATTTCTACCTATGAAAGTCAGTGTTCTTTTGAAAGGGGTTTTGCTAGTACTAGAATTAACAATAGCTCTGAGTTATGTTACCTGTACATTGTTCTTCATGTAAGCGGGGAAACTTGAAGGTTATTGGACTGTCATAGGGTGACTGACCCCTTTAAATGAAGTAGGTCCAACTCCGTTGTTCCAGAACAGGTGCTCCCAGTTTGGCCAATTAAGAGGAGGGGGGTAGAACGGGGGTTATAAAGAGCCAGAGTGTTATTTGGGGAGCAGGGAGAGCCCTGTGAGGAGCTGCCAGCATCCTCTGTGAGAGGAGGCAGTAGGAACCTGCTGGGGGAAAGGACCTCCAGGAGAAAGCCATGGGAAGTGGTGCTCAGTTAAAATAGCCTGGAAGAAGTCCTGAAGTAGGTCCTGAATGAGGAGGGACTGAGAGGGACAAAGAGGAAAGTCCTCTGGGTGGGTTGAGGAACTGTGTCTGTGAGGTTTTTGCCTGTGTTTGGAACATAAAACTGCCTGGAAAAGAAACTCTGGGTGTGGCAATGGATCCTTCATGGGCTGGAGACAAGCAGCACCTTACATGAACATAATTCACTAAAAGACTTACCAGTAAATCTTTACCACTAAACCAGAGATGTAGCACTGTGCATTAACAGCTCTATAGAATATGAGTAACATGACCCATTGCCTGGTTTTAAATAGGTCTGATTTCTTTTGAATACACTTACTCTTTTTTCCTTTAGAGTGGCTTTCTCCCTTGGCAAATCACTCTTACTCTCTTTACTAGAAGAGAGTATATTGGTATTGATATATTAGTAATATTTCATCCTAGTATAACCTAATGACAAACATCTCTCATTTTCATAATGGTTGTAAAGTGTCAGTAATCACTACAGCCTTATTCCAAACACTTCACTTCCATACAAACATTCCCTCTAAAATACAGTCGTCACCACAAAAAAGCCAGCATTACCACCAGCTATCACACAATGGCATCTGATATGCCACAGTAGTCTCTTTTCTCCAGAATAGCATTGCTCTAGCAGTGTAAATGGGCCTTAAAATGGAGGTCAGTTATAGTTACCCTCACTTAGGGCTTCTTTAAAGAGTGATGTAAAGGGCCTTAGTGTGATGGAGAACTCAGGCTGCTATCTCTCAGGGCTTGTCTTCATTACCGGGGAGATCGACGCTGCTGCAATCAATGCAGTGGGCGTCGATTTAGCGGGTCTAGCGAAGACCCGCTAAATTGGCAGCAGAGCACTCTCCAGTCCAGTACTCCAGCTCCCCAAAAAGAGTAAGGTAAGTCGACCAGAGAATGTCTCTCATCAGTGCAGTGAAGTCAAGATACCAGGGTAAGTCGACCTAAGCTATGTTGACTCCAGCTATGTTATTCGCACAGCTGGCGTAATTTAGGTCGACTTACTCTGGTAGGGAAGACAAGCCCTCAGATGCCACTCACTGTGTACTGTTGTCACTTTCCTTCACTTGACTTCTTAATACTGATTGCTGTAAACAAATTCAGTCAAAAGTCTAAAGGACTATTATAGAAATAGAATTCACTTTTGACTTTGGCACATGACAAGGTTGTTGTGAGCTTCACAGCGGTGTCAACTCCTAAAAGACATGAAAATGACTTTGCACCAATCAGTAGCTAAATTTTACATAAACATATTCACGAAATAACAGTAACACACAATGTGTAATTATATAACCTTCCAAGTACATTTGTTTTAAGCAACAAACACTTTTTGATCAAGCAAGCTCTCTTTTCAAACATTTACACTAGCTCAAACATTTCAAACATTTACAATAGCTCAATTGCTCAGGTAAGACAAACTATTTTTGTTCTGGTGGCAGCAGCAAGAAAGGTCAGGGTAATTCTCTTCTGGAGGATAAAATTCAGAATTTTTCAAACGAAGGAGTACACAGAATACTCTTTCTTGTTTAAACACAATCAGCTACAAGCATATTCAGAATCACAATAGTAGTGTGTCCCAGCCTTTAATGGGCTCTTCTAAACCTTTTGGTACATAATTGGCTAACAAGTTGCAAAATCAAATTGATAGGTTCTCTGTGAGTTTGGAGAAACTTCTAGGGCAATTACAAGTAGATTAATATGATCTAATTAAGACAGGCTTTTAGCAACGCAACAATAAGATTTTCCCTGGAAGGAGGACTTCACTGTCCATGGTGGACAGTTTCTCCAGTGATGTCTTGCATCATTTCTGCAGTCAACAGTACACCACCATGCAGTAATATCTATTTCTCAAAGCGCCACTCTCCCTACCTTAAAGGTGAGCTTGGGTCCCATCTGCCTTGTGCTGGCCCCTGCCATGAGGCCTCGCATTAGAACTCTTGCATACTCTTCCTAGTTTGTGGTTGAATTTGGGGCCATCCAAATTCCAGTTTCATATGTTCTGGGATTTGGAGTATTCCAAACTCCATTGTGCACCAGACTGTCCAACAATTCAAGTGTGAGGCATCATGCCAAGGTGAGGCATAGGTGTTATGCAGCTGACCTAGAAGATCATGTTTAAGGAAGGTGGAGCTGGGGTTCTGCAAAGAAAATGGTGATAATAGAGGGTGGAGGAGGAGGCATGGAAGAAATATTGGAAGGAAGAATTAATATTCTAGAGGGGGAGGCAAGACCCATGGCGAGGACCAGTGAATAGTAACATACACCTATTCCACCCCATCTCAGAAAACACAAACACACTTATTTGCCAAACCTTCCCAGATACCCTAGGGACAAGCAAGCCCAACCAGTCTCCTTCTCTGGAAATCCCAAACCCTTTTGCAGCCTCATGACAACTCTGGTTTAACTCCTCCCTGCTAATTATTACTGTTGTTATGATCATAGTGCCTAGAGGACCCAAATAAAGTTGGGGCCTCATTGTGCTAGAGTGATGTACAAATACATATTAAGAAACAGACCCTGCCCCAAAGAGCTACTGATGAATGCTGCTCTTTTCCTGTAATAGGATAACCGAGGTGAGACTAGAGAGCTGTGTTACAGTTTTAACTATTAGAATATACCAAGGTGAATTCATTACTAAAGTATCAGATGATGCCACTCATTGGCTCTGAGGAGTTTGGCTGATGGAACATCTAAATAAAGATCTATTTGGTGTGATTTTTGAACACAAAACTGTTTCTGGCAATTGATCTGGAAATTTTGTTCATATTATGATAAATAATAAACCTTTTGAGAAAGTGAAAATGAAACAAAGATATTTGCTCACTACTTCATTATTTCAAGAATCAGGCTCACATGGACTGGGGGCATGACATCAAAGGCCATTTCCCAGTTGAAATGAAGTGCATTTATTTTTACCTAAAATTGCACACACACTTAGTTCACTCATTCATAAAGTCAAATTGTTTACTCGATTTCAAAACTGGATACAATATGTCATTCTCACAGACCTGCAAATGATCACTTATTCAGAATGAGACTTATTCAGTTTGCACCTCAAACCTATGCAATTTCTGTCTGGAACACCGTGAAAAGGGAGGTTTTGAAAATTGCAATGACTATCAGTGAAATGCTCTCCGTTTCTCTCTCTCTCTCTCTCTGTAATATTTTTTTCAGATGATCTGCTCAGGTTGGATTATCAAGGTGTGGGTGTTACACCTCAGTACTTTCAAGAGATGTTAGATTTTAAACATTCTCAAGTGAAAAAGTTATTTCAAAGTTATTATAGTGACATGGATATGCTGTATCCTAAATCAAATGGAATGTTACTATATGTTTGTATGATACCTAGCAAAACAGAGACCCAACCTAGTTGGCTCCTTGGTACTATGACAATAAAAATGATTAATATAATCATCATTTTGCTCTGGCATTGGACTACAGTGTTTGAGGTTGGAGTATTTTTTAATTGATTATCTGTCTTCTCTGAAGATGTATAAAGCAACGCCTAATGGATATGCTGGTGAAAATTCTGTGGAGGTTAGTTTATGAGAAGAGCAAAGCTAGATGTGTTAAGCAAACTGTTAAATTTGTTTTAATTCCATTTTCTCTTTTTAATCAGTCTTGTTTTTATTGAGATTACTGTTGTCTGGATAATTTCATGCAGATGTCTGCTTGTGGACAAGGACCCCATAATATGCAGAGAGAGGTACTGGAGGTTAAAGAGTTTCTGGAACCTGCACTCCCCTCTCAGTCTTGGTCAAGGGGCACAACTACCAGTCACGTTGTGTTGCCAACAGGCTGTAGCAGGCAGCCCTAAGAGGAGAATCTGAAAGACCAAGGAGGAGACAAGAGTTGGCAGACATGTTGGTCACAGGTACACAATGAAGACAATGGATATTACAATATTTTCACCACCTACTAATACTTGGTTCTGCATTATTTGTTTTCTCCTTAAATCTTAACATGACAGCCTGTTGTCTTCATAATACCAGGAATTGTATTCCATGTTAGTATATTTTGTTCTGTGAGTAGTACCAAGGGTTACTTTGCTATCAGGAGCTGGGATTTTTGTTGGGACATGCTAATACAAAATGCATGTGTTGTGTATTTAAGCTCTTGACCAGCCCCAACGTGGGGGGAATAATTTACACTGAGATTTTTTATTGTGGCCCCTCAACAATTGCTCCTTTCCCCCCATTTGCTCCTGAATCTTCATCTGGAACCTATCAGTGTTATGCCAAGCTTCAACCCAGGACAGACATTGAAAATGATGACCTGCAGCAGAGTGCTATGCTTGATGTCATTGGAACTGCACACATTTACACCAGCAGAGAATTTGGCCCCTAAAGTCAGATCCTTTTGTTGCAGTGATTTCTTACTATTTATTATTTGCACTGCAGGAGCACTTAGGGCCAGCAATTCAGGGTCAGGACCCCATCATGCATGGTTCAGTACAGATGAACAGTAAAAAGACCACAAAGAGCTCATCCTAGATTATGACAAAATACAATGGGTGGATGAGGCAGAAACAGGGAAAAGGGAAGGACAAGATAACAGTAAAGTAGGCAAGTATAATAAGCCGAGGTTTCAGCTCACCACCTATCTGCACATTTTGTTCATTTATTAAATGGGTTTGCTGTTTACAAAACAATCCGTTCTGAGTTTTGAAAGCCAAATTTCAAATTTGTTTTTGTTTGTAACCATCTGAAATAGATGCTGTTGAAGAGCAATATCTATAGAAATGTGTTTACAGCTTCATTACATAGAATATACAAAATAAGCCATTGAGCTCAATGGCGTTACTTTGAATTCATGCCAGTGTAGCTGAAAGCAGAACCTGGCTCATTACGTAAAGTGCAGCAGAATTACAACAAAACAACGACCCTCATTCAGAAACGTATAAGGCAACACCTATGGAAAAGTCCAACAGAAAAGGAAACATTATTGTCACTGACTTTATCCTCTTTTTTGTATCTAATTCTTCATCTTCATAGGTCTAAATGAGTAAGTTTACAAATACCTCTTTAATTAATAAGGGTTTTGCCAGATGCTTGCAAATGGACAGTAAGTTTATTTTATCCACTGTGCCGTCTTGTAAAAAGTTTGTTTCTCCTCAGGGGTCATGATTAATAAGTATCCTTACATTTGATTTAGCAGCTCATTGTCTAGAGATGACTAAACAAATGTATCAAACCACAATAGAGTATCAAGAATGATATAATCAAGGCCACTTTGAAAAGAGCAATCTATAAAACTACACTGATGCTAACTCAACCAATGATTAAAACAGGTGATAACAGGCCTCTCTGTTAGGCTGTTTATTTTTAATTGCATTCAGACAACACTGGTGGTTACTATGATCGTATACATGACAAGATTCAATACACTCATCTGGCCTACGTTAGCACTGCCATTTATGATGTCTATCCGCTATTGTACCTTATCATCCAAAAGAATGGAACATTTTTATGGGCATTTTCCAATTAGCACCACAAAACTGTGGAGTTTGCTCACCAGCACTACCTTCTGGCACAATACACTGAACTGATCTCATGTTGACTAAGCAGGCCTCCTGTCTATTGTGGGACTAATTCTGCAGAATACTTCGTTTCCTCAGCAGATGGCTTAATGATTTTCAGAGCTAAGAGTGAGAATTTTCTGTCCCTTTCCCCAACCTGATGTGAGGAACTTAATATTACCTGGTGTGTGGTCACCATCAGGACCACTTTGCCCTGTGACAACCCTGTTGCCAATACTCCAATCAAAATCATTGATAGAATCTTGTTTTAATCCACATGCAATAGTCCAATCTTGGTCTCCTGTTTCAAAGTTACAGCTTCCAGGGATACTGGTATATTGGCCTGAAAATGCAATAAAAAGTAAATTCACTCTCTTGATATCAATATATAGTATATCAGTTGGTATATTTAAAATATGATGATAAGCATACCGCACATAGTAATAGCAAGGATTCTGTTCAACTAATGCCAAATTTACATATGTTAAGCTGAGAATGTTACTTACCGTATGTTTCTATGATATAATGCAGGCTCGAGAGACAAAGTATTCTCTTTATTAGAGATTGATATGCCCTCCACCCTTTGGATATGTTTAACATCATTGGTATATGGCTATGGCTAATGGTGAGGACATTAGGGAGACATGACTGAGTATGGGACTTGTTTGAGCTCAGTGGAGTGGAGAAGATAACAGCAAACCAGATGCTAAACCTGGACTCCACTCCTATGCTCAAGCGTTCACATGTGCATATATTGGCATTGTATGGTGACCTATGAGCATAGTTTTATAAGTGAAAGAAAGTATGGTGGTTAAGGTACTGGATTTGGACTCAGGAGATCTGTGCTTAATGCCCAACCCTACCACAGACTTCCTGTGTCACCTAGGGCAAGTGACTCAGGGCCAGCTCCAAATTCCATTGAAGTCAATAGGAATCTTTCCATTGATTTTAGTGGGCTTTGCAGCAGGACCTTAACTCCATCAGTAAAATGGGGATAATACGACTCCCTTTCTCCCACCTTTGGTTCTTCTTGTCCATTAAATTGTAAGTACTTTGTGGCAAGGATTGTCTCTTAGTATGTGTTTGTACAGCATTTAGTGCTGTGGAGCTCGCTAGTTGGTGCATCTGGATGCTACCATAATACCAATAATGATCATTTATGATATTTTTTAAAACAAAGAGGCATTTCCTCAGAAATTGCATCCACTCACTTCTTCCACTAATATGGCAGTTACATGCTCTTGGAACCAAGATGTAAGTAGTCTCATATTGAACTACCATTCCCCGCTGTGACAGTGTTCCTTTAAATCAGCCAGTTCTAGATATTTAGAATTAAATTCAATTTATTTTTATGTGGTGTGTTTCAACACAATGTCTCAAGATGCTTTACAGTGAGAGATAAAGCAACAAGATGTTCCCAAGAAATTCTTCTTTTCAAATCTGCGGAGATAATTCATTTGACTCTAAGATACATTAACGTTCAGGATAAAAATGTGTAGAGGGCAATACTGTATCCCTTTTGATAATTCACCAGAAGCACAATCAGAGAGGGTATCTGGTAGTTTTGCCTCTGGCTGGACAGGAAGAAAGTATGAGTGGACAGATCAATCTTGGAGTACATTACATTGGGAAAAACTGATCGATTGATTGGTGAAGGAGACACATATCCTCTCACTATTTCAGCAGTTGCCCTCTTACTTTTTTTCCCCAATGGGATACTATTTTCAACACTACCAGTCAGCTAATTTCATAGTGAGCACTAAGGTGCAAAAAGTAAGAACAGAAGATAATATTGTCATGGCAATAGGTGCTAATGTCATTAATGTTACGAATCACTGATGTATAAAAACTCAGGATGAAACTCTCAGTGCACCCAGACAGTCATTAAGGGATAAACATCCTTGGTTTGGGCAGGCAAACCTTTTCTGGAGTTCCTTTGGATTTCAAAGCATCTACACAACAGGAAGTTTAGGACCTAGGCTCACTTTTCAAGGCCAAATGGTCCCAGGTGAGCAGCTTTAGATTCCCAAGGGAAAAGTCCAGGGGGTTAGGGAGGACCAAGAAACTGCGTGTTTAAATTGTGAGATTCCAGGAGAGGGACAAGGACTAAGGCTAGATCTGTACTACAGACTTCTGCCAGCATAGCTATATTGGTCAGGAGAGTGAAGAAATGTGATCCCTGATCAACATAGCTATGCCAGCAGAAGCCCTTGTTATATCAGCAAAGCTGATCTTTTACCCGTACAGCTTGTTTTGTTGCGGGCAGGGGAGGGGGAAGGGGTGTGGTTTTAATATACTGGTGCAAGGTGCAGCTTTGCCAGAATAGCTGCATCTGCACTAGGAATGACTTTGCCAGTGCAGTATAGCAGAATTCCTATACCAGTAAAGTGCTCCTAGTGTGGACATAGCCTAAGTCAGCGCCTCTTGGAGAGGAGGCAGTGATACATTCACTGAGAAGAACTGCCTGTATGCAGTTCATACTCACTTCAAGAAGCAGTGTTTGTGTACAGTCTGCAAACGAAGAAGTTATACCAAGCAAATGCCCTCACGCAGCATCACAGATTTCTCCTCCAATGAGACACTAACCTCCATTGATGCAGGTAAGATTAAATGATTTGCCTAAAGTCATGCAGGAAATCTAGGGCAGAGTAAGGACTTCAAACCCAGACCTCCTATAAACCACTCATGTGTCTTAACCACCAGGCCAACCCTCCTTTCAGCTTTGTGGGTACTGAAATTCACATTCCCATAGCCCAGACTGCAGTGCAGTGTAGACAAGCATCCACATGCTACAAAAACTACAGATCCTCTTTTACACTCCTGGACTATAAACTAATCTGCTCTCCAATTACAAACTGCACATCTTATCTTCTTGCGAAGAAGAAAACAATCTAAGCAGATGGGACCATTTCTGAGATGTTTAATGTTCAATTATTTAATAGGATGCCCCAAAAACATGTTGTTTGCAAAAATAGACTTGCTGCCATTATAGAAGTATCTTTTCAAATGAGAAACTAAAGCAATTCTCTTTATTATGATGCAGATTTGCAAAACTATAAACTGTAATCAATGCTGTTTTGTAGGATTTTCTTGTAAAAATCTGGTCTGGTATAAATACCTTAAATAAAGATGATTTTGAGCTAGTGAATAACATATGTAACCCCCTTTGGGTTTAGAGAGAGCATGGCCCCTTTAAATATTTTTTCTGAGGGAGGAAGTGCTATTGGTGGGAGTGGGAGCAAAGAGAGAGGGGAGAGAGCAACAGGATGTGTGTGTCTGGAGCTCCAGACAGAAAGGCTGCAGCAAGCAGTCCCTCATAGAGTGAAGCAGTCAAAAATCTACCTGAAGCCTGGGAGGGACAGAGCGGCTAATCAGGGACACCCCAGGACAGGAGCCAGGAGGAGCACTATGCCGGGAAGAAATTGCCCAAGAAGGACAGGCCGGAGCTGGATCCAGTATCCCTGCTGCCCAGAGCTGCATGGGGCTGTGAGTACTGGGGCTTGTGACTTTGCACTGGGAATAAGGAGGGAGGCCGTTAGCTAGTTAAGCGGGGAGGTTGTCGCTCTCTGTGGCTTTGCAGAGAGCGGTAGGTGAGGGCACCAGAGGGGTTGTTGGGGGAAGTTCACTGGCACTGACGACAACCAAGAGCACCCAAGCCTCACCACTGGACTGGAACTTTGCCCAGGACTCCTGAACTCTGTGTGCAGACACATTGCTGGGTGTCTGCCCCTTTCAGACTGTGGTACCACTGGGCCTGTGGGGCCTTGAGTTGAATGCAACCCTGTTTTACCGCTCCCCCTATATTTCCCCTTGTTGTTTTCCTCCTTTCATCCCTCTGTAAATAAATATTTCCCTTTCCTATATTCATTGTACTTTTCTGGTGTGTGTGTGTTCACTCTGGGGGGTTTGGAACAGGTGCCCCTGGGGTGGAAGGAACTTTCCCTGCTGCATTCCTGTGTGCGCCTTCTCTTGGCCAGAGCTGCCTGCAGAGCAGACTCCATCTTGGCCATGAGGGCGCTAAAATTACACATATAGCATGTGAACTCTAAGAGGAGGATCCTACAACTGGTGCCATTAAAGAAAAATAGGAACACAAACACATGGAACATACCACACTGGTCCATATCGTACACCCTGCTGCACTACAAAGGACAGTTGAGCTTTAATAAGTGAAATAGACAAGCAGGCTGTCAAGGCTGTATCCCCACTTTGAACTTTAGGGTACAAGTGTGGGGGCCTGCATGAAGACTTCTAAGCTTAACTACCAGCCTAGATCTGGTCCATTGCCACCATTCCCACAAGCTAATTCCCTTCCCTGGGAAGCTTTGAGAAACCTTTCACCAATTCCCTGGTGAATACAGATCCAAACCCCTTGGATCTAAAAACAAGGAAAAATCAATTCGGTTCTTAAAAAGAAGGCTTTTAATTAAAGAAAAAGGTAAAAATCATCTCTGTAAAATCAGTATGGAAAATAACTTTACAGGGTAATCAAACTTAAAGAGCTCAGAGGACTCCCCTCTAGTCTTAGGTTCAAAGTACAGCAAACAAAGATAAACACTTTAGTAAAAGGTACATTTACAAGTTGAGAAAACAAAGTAAAACCAAGACACCTTGCCTGGCTTTTTACTTACAAGTTTGAAATATGAGACACTTGTTTAGAAAGATGGGGAGAACCTGGATTGATGTCTGGTCCCTCTCAGTCCCAAGAGCGAACAACCCCTTAAACAAAGAGCACAAACAAAAGCCTTTCCCCCCCCCCAAGATTTGAAAGTATCTTGTCCCCTTATTGGTCCTTTGGGTCAGGTGTCAGCCAGGTTACCCGAGCTTCTTAACCCTTTACAGGTAAAAGGATTTTGGAGTCTCTGGCCAGAAGGGATTTTATAGTACTGTACACAGGAGAGCTGTTACCCTTCCCTTTATGGTTATGACACAGGAAGTGCAAAGAATTTGGCCGTGCAATCTCAAGAGAAAGTATATGTGTCTTGTACAGTTCTAAACAGATCAAAGACCAAATGAATTTTGATTTTATAACGCTATTTATAATACATTGCCTGACAGCAGGAATTCAGCTCTAATATCTTACCAGTGCTTCAGAAAGCATTTAATAATAAATATTTATGAACAGCATTTGCAGGGTCGATGAAGTCACCTGCATGTCTGCACCTCTGGGTATTTCTTCTTTTTGATGTAAACAGAGACAGTTTAGGAGTTATGAGAAAAGGACTGGTCCATTTGTCTGCAAAATTGCTTTTATTTCAATAATTCAAGCATTGCACTAGATGGTTCATCAATGTTGAGGCCTGCTATTAATCAGATCTGGGTGTATAATTGACTACAGTTCACGAAAACTGAAATGGTTTTCATGTGTGATTTTCACATCCGTACTTCCAATGGGCTTTGAAAGAAATTGAAAATTGTGCAAGATTGCCACACTGGAAGGAATGAAGCATACAAAAAGCAACTGCTGCAATTTTTTTTTAAAAATAGGATGCAACACAATGTTCCATTACACCAATTTTATGTGGATATGATTGCTGTTGGGCCAAATTCCATTATAAATCCAGAGAAAATGCTTCAGTGGAATTACTCCAGATTTACAAACAGCATAACTGGGTCCTTGACTTCAATAGTTACACTGGAGTAAAACTGGTGTAACGAAGTGGGGGATCAAGTCCAACCTGGAGCTGAGAGAAAAAAGAAAAATTGCAGCCAAAAGTTTCAAATATCCAAAGGTGATGCGAGGATGGGGCAGGTTGGAGCCGCAGGTGTTTCTCTCACAGTCATTCTGCCCTGTCTTTAACAACTCCTGCTGCTTCTCCTGACCAGGGGAGGGTTCTGGAAGGTCCCTGTGTCCAGGCTAAAGGGGCAGAGGCTTTCCCCTAGTGTTGTGTGAGAAAATCTGCCCTTTGCTATTTGGAGCTGCATTATGCTGGGGGTGTGGAGTGATCAACAGCAACCCTTTGTGGGCAGGGCTCAAGGTAGCTGAAGGATGAAAGCACACTGGAGTACATTTTGCTCTTCATTATAAAAGAGTAATTTATGCCCCCATTTAGTGCTTATTCTACACCACCGCAGACATACCCAGGAATCACGTCTACCCCTATCTCAAATCCAAACACCCCCAGCCCTTGGCACTGTGGTATGCTGGACAGGGCAACCTAGCACTTACTTTAGCACTCTGTGTGCTACATTGCAATATTGAACTGTTGCTGGACAGAGGGGAGAAAGAAGTTCCCCATGCCCTCTCCATCCATGGTAAATATGTGAAGCAAAGGACAGTTTTGCCTTATATGTTGAAGGTGCATTGAAGTTAAGATTTTCCCAAGAATAGCTTTTATACATCATAACAAACTTTTGGTTTGTGACTTGGACTGATTTATGGCATTAAATGCTCCCATTCATTGTCTGACTAAGAAAAGAAAGCTGAAGGTCTCACAAGTTATCTCTAGAGAACACTTACAGAAACCAATGGCAACTACTGTATGCAATAACAGCATTTACAGAGTAAATCAAGATCTTCATTAGTTTTCTGAGTGTCATTAAAAAGCAGTTTGCACTAGACAGAGATTCAGAGTGTGATGTTTTTCTATTAGGGCCCTGTAAAACATAATCATGGATAGTTTACAAAGTATTTTGTTGCAGTCACACTGTCTGACTACTGAAGAAATATTAATGTAATGTTATAAAATATGAACAATCTTTTAAAAATCCATTTATCTACCTGAACTGGTTATCCTTTTAAAGGTGCAGTTCAGTTTAGATTTGTTCCAGTTGTGAATCTGGCCAAAAGACTGCATAAAGACACTGCTTTAGGATCTACACTTCAGATATATACGTTATTTACTTTAAAAAAAATAGAGAGAGAGGGAGAAGAGTTCCAGTATCATATAATATTTTAATGATAATATGCCTTTTCCTTCCTCTTCTTCCTAATATACTTGCCAGAGTGACATTATTTGCACATTTGGGCACAAAACAGATTCTCAGTGAACACTTTATATGGCCTCATTTAAGATTGTGCCACTCTATTCTTTTGGAGCCTTGTCTAATGTGACCATCCACCATATATGAGAGGGGGAAAAAAAATCTGTTTTTGTTGTTTAAGATGCATTTGATGCATTTTCTCTCCCCTACATATCAAGAGTGATTTCAGTAATAGTTTCAAATGTGCACCATAGCGGAATTTGGCCCTATAGATTCAAGATTAAGAAACACAGATTGATTGCCAGGATTAAGTACATGCCTTAAAAAAACTGTTCTGTCCTCTTGCTCTTAAAATGTAGTTCTAGTCTCAAAAGTGACTCTGCAAAAATGGCATTGGAGGCAGCGTGGGGACAGAGGCCAGGGCTCCATGTGTACTGCATCTTAACATCAAATACGATCAGTTTAAGTGTTTAAAGGTAGTTTGTTTAATTGCAAGCCCTATTAATGTAAGTGCTGGAAGTCAAACTGGGTTCTTTCCTTCTCACACATCATCATCGATAATAAAGTTCTGCTGGCCAAATTATGTTTCAATCTTCAGTTGTCACTGAGGTTGCACAGGTGTAAACAGATTGGAATTTATCAAAGAGTTCTGTTGCTGATGCAGAAGGAGGAAAGTAATCCAGCTCATTCATTCTGGTCTTTTGTTAGCTTTGGAGTAGTAAAGAACAATAAAAATGTACTTGTGTCATGAAAATGAACCCATACAGGGAGCTGATCCGAAGGGTAATTTTTACATGGTGAGTGTTTGGAGCAGAACTTTACTCTAAATGCTTCTGTATTTTTACCAATTTGCTTATTAAGCTTTTCCCTTTAATGTTGACAGCTCAAAATCCTTTCAAGTTTCTTCCGTTAGATAATTTGTATAGTAATCCTTGGATTATCTTCCTTAAAAAAACTGAACTTGCTCTTCTATTTGCTCTTTGTTTTGGTTATGTTGCACATTTGTGACTAAGTCACATTTAAATATTTTTGCTCAGTAAATGTCTGAGGATCTGAAAGTGTAAAACTTTGTGTGATGAGGCCTGGGGGAAGAAGAGAGGGGACAGCATGCTTATATTACCTCCTCCTGAGCAGCTGTACAAATCCATCTAAACTGGGTTACAGTATTTATGGTTAAAATTTTAATATTAATATAGAAAGTTGTACTTACTGCAATCAGCTTCATCTGATAGGTCCTTGCAGTCTGGTTTGTAGTCGCAAACAAGGTGAGACTCAATGCAGTTCTTATTCCAACACATAAAATCAGTGACTGCTGGGCATTCCCTAGGACTCTCTCCAACTGAAACCAACAGGACATTTAAATCGATACTTTAATTAAATCAAAGTATGACCTTTTTGATTTGTTTACCCATTATACACTATCACTTTAGTGATTTACTGCATCCAACAGATGTTATTCAATCCCACTCTCTTTTAATGATGTCTTGTGCCTGCCTAGACTGCTATATTGGCAATACTCAAAGCTGCGAGGATGGAATGTTTTGGTGGACAGGAATTCATTTCCACATCAGCACAACTCTTTTCCTACTTTATTTGTGGTGTGATATCTGTGCATACAATTCAATTTGCTTCAAACTGGTTTAAAGAAGGCAGGGCAAAGGATTAAACCTCATCTCAATATATGACTTAACTTAGAAATAAGATTGCCTGAAATCATCACTATGCTACTTTCATACAGTGCATAGGTTTCTGAAGTGTTACAGGTCATTTAATTGCGTGAGATTTTTCAGTGTGTGGCAGAGAAACCTATTGCAGTCAACATGCAGGCCGCATAGGGATTCAGCCTAAACTATTTAAAATGAAGATTCATTTTACCAGTACAACTTTTCAATCGCTCTTGAATCTGGGTAAAATAGTGGAAGAGTGTGAATGGGAATGAATGAATAAGTTGGGGCAATACACCCAAGGAATGAGCAAGGCCAGATAGCTCTTGGATTCAGTCCTCAGAGATCTGTCAAGCTTAAAATACTGATATAAATGTTCATCAAGTGGCTCAGTGAACTGGCTACATAACTCCAATTAGCATTAATAGGAGCTGTGCTGATAACCCAAAGCACAACATTTTAAATGCACTTCTATGAATCTGAGATTATTTTTTTCTCCCAGTGCCTCAAGCAGTTCAGTGATACACACAGGAGAATGTGCTTTGACTGTATTCTTTGTAATTTGTTCTATGGCTCCTTCAAACATGACTGAAGTGGGACTCATCATCAGCAACAGCTCTGGGCAGAGCAACTTCAAGTATGTAAAGGGATAAGGCCAACATTTTTAAGAGATTTCGTTGATTCTGTATGTCTCTCAAAACTTGGATTGCACAATTTCAGACGCCTGCCTAAAACCTGATATTCAGAGGCAGACCCACAAGCTCTCATTGATGCCAAAATGAGAAAGCAAAACCAAATCCTAGTTCCACAGAGCATATAAACAAGGAAACATTCAAAAAATACATGAGATGTAACTCAAATCCTTCAAAGGGAGTTCAATGACTGGTTTAGTTAAATGTAGCACTGACTGAGGCAAGTCTTCATATGCGATAAAAAGCTATGAGTAGTATTGGCCCTTAGATCTAAAGGTCTCAAATCTTGTAATGAAAGATAATACAATTAAATAAATAATAAATAATAATAAATTAAACATAGTTTTACAGATTTGGAAACCGAAGCATAGAAAGTTTAAGTGATTTACCTAAGGGCACTCAGGGACTTAAGTGATTTAGTGGTAAAACCAGAAATAGAACCCAGGTTTTCAAAATACTATATACTTCTTAAAAAGACAAGGTAGTTAGGTAATAGCTGTTCTTCAGCTCTGTGTAAGACCAAAATCTTGTCTCTTTCACTAACAGAAGTTGGTCCAGTAAAAGATATTACTTCACCCACCTTGTCTCTCTAATATCCTGGAACCAATATGGCTACAACAACCACTGCAATATACTTCTTAACTAATTTAAAAATATCTCAGGCAGTAAGCTGGGAACAGTTATGTTGCTGAAGTGAGATTGGATGAACTGTAGATGAGTCCTACCCAAACTGCACATCTGAATAGACATAACTATTGGAAAGTTTGGATCTGGATTCAAAACATTGTGGCTTGGACTCTTCTGGAGTAAGAACTCACATGAACACGATTTTTCTGGGGAGCTGCATATGAAATGAAGTATACATTTACAAACAGGATACAGGCTGTGCCAAAGGCTTTGGCAAAGGCCAAGGCAAAATCTTTTTTGGAATCAACATGCCAAAATTGGTACAAATATCTAAAAACAAAATACCCTCCCCCAAACTTCATACTCTATCAAAATTCAACTCTAAATGTGGGGGGTAGAGAGGGGGGGAGCTCAGCCTTCTACTGCATACACCAATAGTGGCCCTGATTGACCACAGCCACTGTATTGACAGAAATTATACTAAAACAAGAAACATGATGGTGGTTGTTGATCATAAAAAGTAACTACAGAAACTACAGTGACTGAAGAAATTCACAAGAACGGCACCCTTTCAAGTAGCATTTTACCATTAATGTTTTAAATATTTTTCTCAAAATAGAAATACTTAATCCCAGAACATTTCCAAAAACTAATATATATCAATTTCATTTCTGAGGCCTGGATGCAATTTAACATAAGAACATGTTAGAGGCTCTATCAACATAGAAAACATGAGGATTTTCAAAATATTATCCTGCCAATTCCTGCCATTGAAAAAATGGGTTGTCAAACTCTGGCATTCTACCATGATTTAACCCATTGAGTTATAATACTACAATGTATGAGAGTGGCATTTAAATCTCTCTGTGGAACTGCTTTATGAACCAGTCTAACTTCTCCTGATAACTACTTAATTATCATGTGGCTGAAAGGTAAAACGATGTATTTCATGTAAAATAAGGGTTTTTCTCCACAATTTCTTGTCTTGTTGCATTTGTCCATACTGTGGGAGGATGTGTGCAAATAAATGGCTTTTGTGTTTCATCACATTCCTTGGCTGTGCTTTGACATTTAATCAAGTGGAAAGGTACTTTGTTACCTTATAGTCTCATTCAAGGTTAACAACATCCCTTAAATACACGTAAATTTTTTTAAAGAATCTAACTCCTAAATAAAGCCTATGGAAATCTAAATACCGCCCCCATCTCCACACACAGAAGTCATTCCAAACCAATAAACCTCAGCAAATACCTGCATACAAAGCAAGAGTTTGTTAAGGATCTCGTATTCACGTGCTGGGCTGCACTTATATATTCAAGGGGAAAGCCATAGGGAGCCATTGACCCATGGAACAGCAACATGTTTCAAAAGAGCAGCACGTGCCAATCTCAGAGTTACATTCTATCATGATATAACCCTTAGAGCAAGAATGCTGGCATTTCACAGAATGGCATTCAAACGGAGGCTTAGGAGAATGTCTGTGGTTTCCAAATGGCTAGAGAAGGAAACTGTATGACTTAAAGGGGACCCAGCAAAGATTTCTCAAAGAGTTAATTTACCTAATATTTAAAAATAGTGGAAGAATCAACTAGACTCCAGGAGGCTCTGTGAATTGTATATACTATGTTCTGCAACGTGATAGATGCGTCAAAGTAACGTGTTTACATTAATTTAATAGGGATTTTCCTATACGTTCATTTATTCTTTTTAAGGCATTACAGTTTAACTTGCATGTTGTTAACAGTGTAATTTTCAACCAATTTTTGGTACTACTGTAACATTACAATGGAACTGTGAGCTAGCGAAAGGTAAAGAATTTGGCTGGTTCTGAGTAAAGGATAAACGTGTTTATAAAAAATGCCATAGGAAGTATGAAGCAAAAACATACTTTATATCCAAGTGTAGGTTTGCCACATAATTAAGGCTCCCTGACATGACAGTGAAATATTACTTTGGAAAGATCTATCAGATGTAACCCATGTAAGCAGGGAACATTGGATTACATACTACCTTTCACTGCATGGCATGGAAGATAATTAATTGTGGCAAGGAGAGATGGTCTTCTGATTAAAGTCCTGGACAGAGTACAAGTCCCAGCTTGCCCACAGATTGTATGTGATCTTAGTCAAATTACTTAATTCCTATGCTGCAGCTTCCTATCAGTAAAATGGGGATAAACATTTCTCTTTTCCTATCCTCTGTGAGGTCTATTTAGGTTGTAAGCTAAGCTCTTTGGGAATTGAGCTGCCTGGTACTATGCATCTCTACAGCACCAAGCTCCAGTCTTGGTTGGGCAAGTAATAAATGGTGAACAGACACAGTGAGGGAAAGAACAGCAGCTGTCCTGCATTTTCTCTCCTGGTCCCCAAAACCCAATGAACCCTTTCTACAGACCCATGGCTTTGGGGGAGGGAACATGGAGCCGGAAGGGGAGGATGAGATGTAAATCTGTGCAGCATGCTTCCATCAGATACAGGCATATTTCCCATTGAAAATCCATCTGGGAATCACTGTAGGTTTGATCAGCAGTAATTTCTCCTGCCTAGGAACAAACCCTCCTCCTTCCTCACCTACTCTCATAGGGAATTCTGCAGAAGCTGCCTGCAAGGACTACATAACAGCATGGTCCTAGAGAACAATATTTCTGTTTTTCATTTGGGAGAAAATGATGTAGTCATATCATATAACAACACTCCAGTTCACAAGTATTTCAGTAGGATGTCAAAAGGGAGGTACTACTGTTAGACATTTTTGAATCAGCAGGTCCAGAAACTTTCATCCAAGAGTTTTAAAAGAGCTGGCCAAGGAGCTTGCTGGGTCATTAATTATGATTTTTCAATAAATCTTGGAACACTGAGGAAGTTCCAGAAGATTAAAAGAAAGCTAATGTGCCAATATTTAAAAAGGGTAAATGGAATGACCTGGGTAAGTACGGGCCTGTCAGTCTGATATCAATTGTGAGCAAGATAATGGAGAAGCTGATACAAGACCCAATTAAGAAAGAATTAAAGGAGGGTAATATCATGAATGCCAATCAACATTGGTTTATGGAAAACAGATCCAGTCAATCTAAATTGGTATCCTTTTCCCCCCAGAGATTAAAAATCTTGGTTGATAAAAGGTAATAGTGTTGACATAATGTACTTAGATTTCTGTAAAGCATTTGACTTAGTACCTCAGAACATTTTCATTAAAAAAACTAGAATGTTATAAGATTAATATGGCACACATTAAATGAATTAAAACTGGCTAATTGATAGGTGCCAAAATGTAATTGTAAATGGGGAAACATCACTGATCAGGTGTATTTTCAGTGGGATGCTGGAGGGATCCGTTCTTGGTCCCACACTACTTAA